TCATTAACAAATCTAATGGTTATGATTTTTTATTTTTTATTTTGATTTATATAAATTTTACAACTTTAAATAAAAATTAAACCTATAATTACTTTCATGTATTTTTATAACATATTATCCAAATTATTTAAAGTAAGAACAAAAATAGTTTAATACTATTATATAAGTTTATGGTTTTTGTAGTCAATATTAAAATTGGTCTTAAATAAATTGTTAGTTTTTTATTTTTACTTTAGATTTTCAATAGTTGCAAAATTTGCCTACTCAAGTGCTAATATGAGCTACATTTTTTGTTATTTGAGTTAATTTAGTTAAACCAAAAACTATAATCATACTATGGTTTTGGTTTTGAGTTTTTAATTTTGGTTTCTAAAAGTTTTGCAACTACTGAAAATAAAAAATTTAGAAACCCTAAAATCAAATTAAGAATTTCTATAAATTGAAGAGGTTTAGAGTTTTGGATATTCATTTTTAAATTTGTTACCCACTAAGTTGTTTAATTTTAATTTTTAATTTTAGTGTTTACTTTTAGTTTTAATTGTTTGAATTTTGAAAACCAATACCAAAAACTACCACAACTATACTTAACATACCTAAATAACCTAATCTTTTTTTTTATGTGACCTAATTTTTTATTTTATTTATTTTAAAAATGATGATGAATTTGTGAATTGTCTATAATACCAACTTTCCTTTGTTCCTTTTTGGTTTAACTATTTTTTTATGGTTGCTAATTCAACTAATTGATATAATTTGTTTGGTACCATTCTAAAAAGGGAAGTGATATATGGATAACCTTTTTATATCATATTTTTATACAATTTTTATGTGTCATTAAATGAGTGAATGCATTCAATATCATGGGTTCCAAATGAATGAAAATACTCAATCTTTTAAATGACATGTCAAATTATATCAAAAGGTGATACAAAAAGGTTGTCCCAAAGTCATTTTTCTTTTAAAAAACAATAATGCAACTTTTTTATAATAGGCCACATAAATATTGCATAATTAAAATAAAAAAAATTAATTTTTAGTTATAGGTCTTACAAAATTGCCACATCATCAAAACAAATAAGTTTAAGAAGCATTTTGAGGTAATTAAAACCTTTAAGGTTATTACAAGATAAAATAGAAAGGCTAGGGATCATGCATTTTAGATATTTAACCAATTAAAATAATTAACGACATTAATGACCAATTTAAGAAATAATAATTTTCGTCCAATTTGGACCCCATTTCATAACCTTATTTGAGCGAAATAAATTTTGGGATCTCAATTGTGAATTTAGTGAAAGTATGAGACCTTATTCAATGTTTAGCCAACTTTTAAAATATGCAGTTTTGGTTAATTCTGAATACCAACCCAACTTAAAACGAAAATTTTCAATTAATTAATAGTAGTTCTGAATAATAAAAGTGATGACATGTTTCCAAAAAAAAAAGTGTTTGACGACACAACAAGTATAATTGATTGAACTTTTCAATTATTAACAACTCTAAAAGGATATTTAGTCAACAGTCACTTAGAGTTAACAATATTAGTCCTATAAATTTCTGTCTAATTATGACTTTATTTGAGAATTTCAATTACTTTGGTACTTTATTTGAACAAAATAAAACTTTGAGACAATTATGAATTTAGTGAGAGTTTGCAACCTTGTTCATTACTTAAGCAATTAGCATATTTATTTAATTGGATGAATATATCTGCCGCCAAACAAGGAGGCGAAAGAAATAAAATTATTATTTCAAATAGCTTATTCATTTATATAATATATATAGTTGTTTGTTTCTCATTTCCTTTGGTAATGGATGGTTTTATACCTCCTATATATGGTTGGAATTGGCAATTTAGTTTAAATTCTTTTTATTGTTTATTTATGCTTTCGAATTTTCTGTTGACAAACACTAGAAGCAGTATTTTTTATTCACATTATTTATTATGTTTCAGGACCTTAAATTACCAATTAATGGCGGACATAGCTGGGGCAATCATCAGTGCATTGAGTTGCATTTGTGGTACTCCAATCTGCAACTGTATAGATCAATATAGAAGTTTTAATGATGATGTGGGTGAGCTGAGAAGAGAATTGGACACTCTAACCAAACGAAAGGAAGATATAGAATCAAGAATAGAAGTAGGAGAGGCTTGCGGGGGAGAAATGGTTAGACGAGAAGTGAAAGATTGGCTTAAGCAAGTACAAGACATTAATGTTGATGTACATGCATTTTTAGAAGAGGTGCAGGGAATCAAGTGGTACGAGCGTGCCTGTCTTGACAAACTTGTTTGTAGAAAAATTGATGTGGTGAGGGAGATGCTTGAAAAAGGTAGTTTTCCTGGAGGCCTTTTTATTGACAGAGCTCCAGCTCGTGGAAACAGAATTCCAACAGAGAATTTAGTGGGGGAGATTTCTACTAAAGAAGAAATTTGGGGGTACTTGATAGGTGATGAGGTTGGAATGATCGGAGTTTGTGGGATTGGTGGAGTTGGAAAGACTACGATCATGAAGAATCTCCACAATGATTTACAGGGGGAGACTAGATTTCAGAAAGTCATTTGGGTTACTGTATCACATCCTCTCAATGTTTTTGAATTACAAAAGAAGATTGCTGGTGCTATGGGCAAAAGACTTCTAAATGATGATAAAGATGCTGATGGAGTGATGATGAGAGCGGGGGAACTAATGGATATAATGGAAGGAGTGAAATTTGTGGTAATATTAGATGATGTATGGGAAAATTTCTCTCTTAGGGAAGTTGGAATTCCGGATCCAAAGGCACAAAATGGGTGCAAAGTAGTTGTCACTAGTAGATCAATTGAAGTATGCAGTTATTTGAGTTGTAAGATTGTTAAAGTGCAACCTCTTTCACAAGAGGAGTCTCTAAAGTTATTCCTCAATACAGTTGGGGATGTTGTTTTAGAAGTTCCAGGGTTGGAAGAAATCTTAGAGCTTATTGTGGAAGAGTGTGCAGGCTTACCACTGGCCATTGTTGTGATAGCCGGGAGCATGAGGGGAGTTGATGATGTTATTGTGTGGAGAAATGCATTGGCTGAATTAAGAGATCGTGTAAAGAGTGTGAAAGATTCAAATGATGAGATATTTAAGCGACTAAGGTTTAGTTTTGATCGGTTGGATAGCTTGGAAGTTAAGAATTGTTTTCTTTATTGCTCCTTCTTTAAGGAGGATTATGTGTTTTCTAGAAGGGAGTTGATAGAATGTTGGATTGATGGAGGAATATTTGATGGGTTGCCTAGTAGAGAAGCAGCTTATGATAGGGGCCATGCTATTATAGATAGGCTGGAAAAAAATTTCTTATTAGAGAAAGATTCTAGGATACTTGCATTTCCTGCATATCCAATGCTTATACCTGGGGCTAAGATGCATGATATAGTGAGAGATATGGCTATCACAAGCATTGGTCCTGAATTTGGATATATGATAAAAGCTGGTATGAATTTGGTAGAGCTACCAGATGAGCATGGTTGGGTAAAAGATCCTAAGAAGTTGTCTCTAATGGCAAATGACATTTTAAAAGTTCCTCTTAGTATGTCCCCAAAGTGTTCCACCCTTTCGACATTGATATTATCAAGTAATTCTAATTTGTCAGAGATTCCAGAATCTTTTTTTGGAGAGATGCTCGCTTTGAAGGTTCTTGATCTATCTAGCACTGCTATTGAGACTCTACCTAATTCCATCTCTAAATTGAAGAATCTATCTACCCTGCGGTTACAGCTTTGCAAGAAGTTAAAGTACTTGCCTTCCTTAGCAAACCTCAGGGGATTGAAGAAGTTGGACCTGCACAGGGCAGGGATTGAGGTGGTCCCACAAGGCATGGGGATGTTGATAAGTCTTGAATATCTTGATTTGTTATTTTGTCCAAATCTGAAAGAGATTCCAACAGGAATATTACTTAACCTTTCCAGTCTCCAGTATTTGGCAGTTTGTTGTTTACGAGAAACTACAATAGTGAGAAATTTGGAAGAGGTTGCTAGACTGAAGAAGTTGGAAACTTTAGAATGTAACTTTGATGACATACATGACTTCAATTATTTTGTCAACAAGTTCAAAGATTTCCAAAGGGCTATCGCTTACAGTCTTCTAGTTGGGAGTGCAGAAGACATGCTTAGAAGGAGCAAACATGTGCTTGTAATTACTGATTGCGAGATCGGGGAAGAATGTATAGTGCTTCCAAATAAGCTTGAAGATTTGTCGATAATTGGGCTTAAAAACATGGGAAGCAGCTTAAGCAAAATAGTTCTGTTAGACAAAGCAAATGAGTTGAGGACATGCACTATTAGCTCTTGTGAAGAGATAGAGTGCGTGGTTGAGTTGGACTCATCCTCCTCCTCATTGCGTTGTCCAGTATTTGATAAGCTTGAAGTGCTGCGGCTTTGGGGATTGCCTAGGTTGTGTGAACTTGTGAGAGTGGAAGGAGAAGCAACACCATCACACGTCTTTTCCAATCTTAAAAAGCTTTATGTATTATTTTGTTTGGGAATAAGGAAGTTGTTTCCGCTTGAGCTACTGCAGACCCTCCAAAACTTAGAGGCGATTATAGTTTATGATTGCCATCAAATGGAGGAGATAATAGCATCATTAGATTCGGATGCATCATCATCAGATAAATTCACTTTCACTTTTCCTAAGTTAAGGGAATTGCGCTTGTCAGGCTTACCCCAATTGAAGAGCATCTGCAGTGCCAAAGGAGTTATGGTTTGTAATTCTATTGAAACAATTGAAATAGGTGGATGTCCGGAGTTAAAGAGGATCCCTGTGCAACTTCCCCAACTTGATAACGGCCAACCATCTCCTCCTCCTCATCTCAGAGAAATCGAGATAGATGAAAGTTCAAAAGAATGGTGGGAATCAATGGAGTGGGATCATCCTAACGCTAAGAACCTCCTTCAACCCTTCTTGAAATATAGTAGAAGACCGTGGGAGTGAGGGTAAGGTGTTGATCGATTTACTACTATTTAATTCTAATTTGAATTTGCTTCGGTAATATATTACAGTAAGTTGTTGAAAATTTGGGAAATAATTTGTGTAGATTGAAGTGAAGAGCTGCAAACTACAAATGTAAAGCCATGTGCCACCTCAGCAACACGTGCCAATAAAAGCATTTCCACAGTTCCTTCATTCCTCCCCCAACGAAAACAATTGGGTATTCTAGAAGAGAAAGAGATGGATGTGTCTGAGATGGAAACCCTAAGTGGGTATATTCTAGAAGACAAAGATTTCACTATCTCTATTTTGACTCATTGTAACTCTATTTAGTTTTTGTGTTTGGATTCATATTCCACTTTTCTCATTTAATAAGATAAAATTATGAGTCATAAAATTGTTTATTATCTGTGGCTGGAGGAACATTAATAGTATTTTTTTATTTGATTTTTTGATATATTTTTTATTTAACTTTATCTTGACAGTCTTTTTTATTTATAATTTTTCTATCATTTGCAATCCTGTGTTATTTTAGTTGCTGAAGGAAACAATTTCTGTAGTTCCAGAGAAATCATCAACTTTCCCAATAAATCACAAGCCACCGACAACATGTTCCGGTAAAAGCCCTTACTCAATAACGAAAAGATTGGCTGGAAAATTACGTGCTAAACTGAAGAATCAGACCTCAAAGAAAGTGTGAAACATCCAAACACTAGGTATTTTGGCTTGAATTATTCCATTCCACTCTCTTCATTTTCTTATGCTTCTTAATTTCTATGTATTCATAAGGGTTTTATTGAATTTTTTCTGTTTTATATTTTGTTCTTTTTATAATTTGGTTTTGGGGTAAGCTTGACTGAAATTGAGCCCCCTTTAATTGCCAGGTATGCTAGCTCCGGTAAGGCCTCAAGGAGAGGAAGTTTTTAGGTTTCTGGGTATGCTTTCTTCTGTTCATAATCTAAAAGTTTTGTACAAAAGTTTCTGATAAAAATTGGTATGATTTTCAAGTTTCCTACAAAACTTTTTGGTGTCATGATCATGAATTGTGCAAAGAGGTGAATTTTTCCTTTCCAAGAGTGCAGTTAAAGTTCACATTCACAAGTCACAAGCATGGAGAAACATACTCATGATTGCAATTTGTTTAGGTTACATGAAGAGTTTATTTGAAAAACATGGTAGTGGGTTGGCAAAATTATATGCTGCTGTCAGATATTTTGATTTTATTTTTTTGGTAACAGTACATATCTTGGTTGATGATGGTTCTTGTTTACTTCAGGTTATTAAGCTTAAAGTTTGCACAAGGGGATGTTTCTCATAAAAATTAGCATAATTTTCTGGCTTCCTACAAGTGGCTAAGTTGTTTCTTTTTGGTGTCATGAAATGTTGCAAAGAGGTGAATACCTTTCCTCTCTAAGAATGTAGTGAAAGTTCACATTCACAAGTCACATGCGTGGAGACACATATTAATGATTCATTATTTTTTTAGGTTACTCATGGAGCTTGTTTGGAAAACATGGCAGTGGGTTGGAAATAGTCAATACCTTGTCTTCCCGGTTGATGAGCAGTCTTCCAAGTTACCATATGAGGCTTCTTAGAGGACTTAAACTCACAGGTTAGATTTTCCTTCAAAATGGCATATGGTCTCAATCTCATCATTAACAATTTTCATCTCTTCAGTTATTAGTTATTTCTTTTACTTCATATGGTGGATTAGCCCCAATCTAAACTTCTAAACCCCCTCCCCAAATCCATACCCAAAACCAAATGTGTTTCAGGAGTACAATGCGTCACTTGAGTCCAACTAGGCTCCCTTCATGGTGGAGTCTAATTCATACCTTGAAACATATCATACTGTCTTGAGATGACTGGTGAACCTTGCTGCTATAACCAAACATGGTAAGAGCTAGGAAGGAGTTGATGTGTTAGTGTTTGAGAGCTATATCTAATGGATGCACA